ATAACATATTTAATTTTCAGAGGTTTTCCTTAGTTCAGACTAATTCTTCACATCCAGTCAAAGTCTGGACCGATTCTCTGGAGCATTGTCATGTTTGCAGAAGTTATGTGGAACATAAAATATCTATTTTGTACTTCTTTATTTTTATAACATGCAAATCAGCCACACTGGTAATATTACAAAACGTGTGCCAGAATGTCTTTGTATCTATTTCTATATGTTTTCATACAAAAAGCAGATTTTATTTCTGATAAAAAAGTCCAAAACTTAGATAACACTATGTAAAGGGTATATGCTATCTTAAATGGATCTAGTAGGATTGGAAATGATGCCTTATCAGCAGTCAACCAGAGAGATTTCATTAAAACAATGCAAATAGTCATGCTGTTGAAAAGCGTTGCCAGTTTCAGAAGACTGCGCATAAGTTGGCTTGAAACTCATTTCATGAGGTAAACTGTTTTGTAAACCATGTATACGAATTTCACAAATATCCTCTGATTAACCGATAACTGTGTTAAGCCCATTTGGATATCATTGCTCATCACATCCACATATTTTAAAGGGTATTTTAGTTTTCTTGAAAAACAGGTCCTTCCCCTGGTGAGAAAATATTCTAGTTGCGTTGATACTACTAATGTCATGTACAAGGGCTAATGTAAGCCCATTACTGGCATTCGTAGATTCAGTGTTATGCAGTGTAACACAGCGATCTTTGAATCGTACGAACAAATGTAATAGAAGGTTTAAAGGAAGGAACAAATGTTACAATGTCAGGGTCATTGTTCATTATGGTAACATCTTCCATGGCAGGTGTGTCGTCGTCTTATGCATCGGACATTTCTGCTATTTGTTACACCACTGTTAAGTAAACAGATAATCTTAGTTCGGTCTTCAAACCCTCATGAAAGCAGTAAAAACAAGTCACTAGGTATTCTGCTATCCAAATCAATTCTTGTTGGAAAATGGACTCCGACAAGCTGGAAAGTCTTGGCCTGTATATTAGAACGCTGGAATCGCAATTTCACCATTTGATTGTGAAAGAGTAGCCCAAGAGTTGGTGGTGGGTGTTGTTGATTAGCTGCATTCCCTCCAGTTTATCACTTCATAATTAGGGATGGCTTGCGCAGATAACTTTTGAATAGCCGAAATTATACAAACAAACAATTGATATTCTGGATATGGTATTGTGCTGAATTGTTTTCTATATCTGCAGTTTTCAAGCTTACTAATGCTGCTTCTCCGTTATTGTATTGCCAGTGCCATTTGTATTCCTATCAGCCACTATGTACACGTCTGTGTACTTTGGAGGATGATTCTTCATTGGATGCTGTGGCCATGAGATCCATTACAAATGCAACTGGATAGTGTGTATTATCTGTTTTTGACCAATTCGAGAGCTGAAGATGATTGTTTTATAAGTTCGGCAACGATACGAAGTTTGGTTGGTTTCGAACCTTTTTGTGAAAGTGTAAATTAGTGTTAAATCAGATCTGTTTGCATGGAAAAAAAAAGGTTGTTGTGGACCGATTTTAGCTCAAGTAGGTGCCATAATAGGATAAGTTTCTGAATGCCGTTAATTGTTTAGATAATACTTGCCATATTTTGTTTCCAGCACAGTTTTTATTGGCACGTTAGTTAATATCTACCATATTGACGAGGTGAATTTGAAAGTGTTCCCTTTTCTCCGGATCCATTTGATTAACATTGGGACCAGTAGTTTGAAATTTATAAGAATGGACTTTTAAACCTACAGTGGATTTCCAGGTTTAGTTAACAGTAATTTTGAGCTTTTTGCCAACTCACTTTACTAATTATAAGTCGGTTTAATTACAGTTTTCTTATTGAAATTAAGAATAATAACAGGAAGGTTAGATGCTAAGGTGAGATGCATAAGCGTTGACTTGTTCCATGATCGTAGTAATTCAACCTTTGTTACTTTTTTTTTAAAGCTCTAATGCACTGTGAATACTTTCTCCTTTTCATTGAGACTGCCTGAAAGAGTTTGTGTTAATACTTCGCTATTTTGGTATTTGTTTAACCCCAGATAACAGTGTGAAACGTATTTTGTTTGTTTGTTGCATTTTGTCATAATCAGTTTTATTTTATATTCTAGGAACTTTACTACAATGCCTTTCAAACCTGTTCAACAACCCAAGTGCCCCAAATGTAGTAAGTCAGTTTACGCCGCTGAAGAAATGTTAGCAGCTGGTCAAAAGTGGCACAAGAACTGCTTTAAATGTGGTAAGTATTCTTAGGGTTTGGATATTCATTGAAATACAATGATTAAATGCTATTTTGATGTACCAGGGTTTGGATATTCATTGAAATACGATGATTAAATGCTATTTTGATGTGCCAGGGTTTGGATATTCATTGAAATACAATGACTAAATGTTATTTTGATGTGCCAGGGCTTGGATATTCATTCAAATGCAATGGCTAAATGTTATTTTGATGTGCCAGGTTTTGGATATTCATCGAAATACAATGACTAAATGTTATTTTGATGTGCCAGGTTTTGGATATTCATCGAAATACAATGACTAAATGTTATTTTGATGTGCCAGGTTTTGGATATTCATCGAAATACAATGACTAAATGTTATTTTGATGTGCCAGGTTTTGGATATTCATCGAAATACAATGACTTAATGTTATTTTGATGTGTCAAATTTCTTTTCTCAACGTTTCCACCACCCACATAGTGTTCGAGAAACTTGAATAATGTAACCTAGTAGTAAACAAACACCAATAAAACATATTACAGATATCTCTGCTGTCGAGCAATAAAGTCTTCTTTCCTACAACGCTCTACTGACCAGCAGTGAAGCCTTCTTTTCAACAAAGCTCTAACGACTAAAGGTTCCAGAATGCACTCTTTTTACTTATTGTTCATGTAATAATTCATGAATGTGTGTTTAGATATAGATAAGATTAAACATTTGATTATTTCAAAATTTGTATAAAGATTGTTCAACTTTTTGAACCGAGATTCTTGCGAGTTCTAAACATTGTATTTTTAATATTAAACGTTAAATGTTTCGCTCCAAGAGACGTTCTGGAAAAAAAATATTTTAAAGATCCCAAGTTGTACTTGTCTTTTGTGAGGCAACGTTTCTGCTGTCTAAAGTGTATATCAAAATTTCTTCATCTGTTGATAGTATAAAATGCATTAAACGCAGATCATCGTGAATGATCATATATTTTGATACACGTAGGTCTCTGTCAGAAAAGATTAGACAGTACAAACGCCTCTGAACACGATTCTGAGATATTCTGTAAACAGTGTTACGGCAGAAAGTTCGGACCCAAGGGTTATGGTTTCGGTCAGGGGGCTGGAACCCTGACTATGGACACTGGAGAGCACCTAGGCAACACTGAAACTCTGATGAGGTGAGTGTTGGATCCAACCAGGTGGCATCCTTCGGAACAACCTTAAAATCTGACTAGTTAATAATGTGTCGTTTTATGTTTTAAAAAGCATTTGGTTGTTTCATAATGAGATGATTACGTATGGTAAGCATTTTATGTTTTTCTCTCGAGTAATTCGACAAATATCGAAATATCAATGGCAAATATGGAGTCCATTCCCCATGATTTTTACAAACACAGTAATAAAGTGATCATAAGATTACTGAAACCACCAATCAATGATCTGTCTATTTTATTTTTGAAAATTGTTTGGTTTTCATTGGATATTTCATTCAGATACCACGCAATTAATAAGGGCGTTTCATTTTAGAGATACAGCATTCGCATTTTAGTCAATTTGGAAATTTATTTTCAGTTATTTAAAAACATAATTTAATCACATAATTGGGACGACTAGATAAACCAGGAAGAAAGATAATATAATCCATAATTGAGTTTTGATGTTAAAAATCATTATTTAAAAAAAAATTGAAACCAAACCTTCTTTATATAAAAACTGATTCAAGTTTAATAGTTAATTTTTGTGAGAATCTTTTAAATTTTTGGTAGTTCTAGAAATTTATGGAAAGTCTTTATAGATTCGTACGAAAAACAAAACTCGTGTAAGTTTTAATTAACTGTTACTTGTTTTCTTTAGAAAGTTATATTCCGGGATAGTTACTTTTACTCTCTCTGTATAATATTTATATTTTGCTTAATCTATCGAACTTCATTTTTCAAACTTCCCCATTTTCGACAGGAAAAATCTTGAATACATAACACGTACTCAATTGCTAAAGATTTTTAAGTTTTTCTTCTTCTTCAAGAACGTTAACATTGTTGAACTAATGATGTAGCTCGATAGAGCAGTTATCAAGTAGTCATTGTATGAATGTTTTGTCCGGTATTTCAATGTCACAAAGCGAAGAAATCCGAGTGCCACTGGAAAGTTGTGTGATCGTGAACATGCTTTTGGTACACTAGAGTATGTACGTATTCATATAAGTAGTCTAAACTAAATTAATATTAACGATTTCTGTAATTTATATATATATTGTCCGGTATGACCTAAATGTTTATTGATATGGGATAATGTAAATACTGTATATCAATTTTATAATTTATCTTTCTTTGATTGTACTAGAGCATTCTTTTTTTTTTTTTTTCTTTCAGTAATAAACCAACTGACCCGAACTACGGCTGAATGACAGGACTCAAGCATATCTTCTACTGTTGGGCTGTTTGTTTTTTTGTTTGTCAAGATATAGTATATAAGGAAAGAATGATAAACATAAGAAACCCAACTTTTCTCCTGATGAAGAGAGGTCTAATAGGATTTCTTATTTTTGTCTTCAATTGATTTTTTATAACTTTGTTTTCCAAACATCACGAGTAAAGGATGATTCATTGAGGACAGTTTATTGATAATATTTTAATAAAACATGCTTATTTAAATATTTTTAATGTCAACATCCTTCTCTGCATGAGCGTGTGAAACCTCACTTGGAAGAGCGCGGGGATACGGTGATAAAACGTGGTTATATACAATAAATTATTAATGAAAACTTTTTCCAATCCTTAATACTTATTTTCATAAAAAGAAATTATCGGTTCAATTGAAACATTACTTTTTTCATGTTATGGAAAAATATTAATTGTGTGTTTTTAATTAAAGTTATTGTTTATATTATATGTTGCACAGAATTGACTCCATAAGCGCTGGTCAATCATGTACTTGCTTTCTATAACGCCCTCTATTCATTAAAACGTTTCGAACAATTATTTCTAGTCTTTTTCTTACTTTTCTTTTAAATATGAAAGTTTGATTTTTTTTTCATGATACACAACATTGCCATAAACAGATGTGGCAGTGCCATGGATGTTTCTAGTGCCAGACTGAAATGGGTAAAAAGTCTTTCCGTCCCCCAATGACTGAACGGCAAGACTGATGGGTTTAAAACTAGCAGAGACCCGCAAAACATTTGCTGTTAAATTAGTGTCTTTATTGGAACAGTACTTCTTTATTTTATCAAAACCAGACTTTTTCCAGTATGTGTTTCTAGTTAGTCATAACTGAGAATGTGTAAAGAAATAAAACAACGTCCAACACGTTTGTTTCGCTAACCATGATAAAAATGACAATGGATTAAGTTTTCTGTTTTATTTAAAACTGGTTCTATAAAGGCAACATTGTTTATTTTACATTATTAAGATGTGAAGACAACAACACTAGCCCGCTTTTTTTTCTTCATTTTTCTAAAGTATTTTCTGCGGCTGTAAACATTGGCTAGAACATTGGTTTCTCTACTTCAAAGAAATTCATTTAGTAATTAGGAGTAAAATAAATCCATATAGTATTGAAGTGTTTTAATTTTCAACCCACGATTAGTGTAAGGATGCATGAGTTGGGAATTCGCATAGCACAATAAACACTTCATTTGAATGCACGTGTACTACCAACACTTTCAAAAACCGCTAAATCATTGCATGGTGGTGTAGATGCACGGTAGGGAGATAGCCGTGTGTGTGTGTGTGTGTGTGTTGGTAACAGACTGTAAAATAACAATGTTTAGGCAATGTATGGAGTAGTAATAATAGCTATACTTCATTGTCACGTCGACATTAATTACTTCTGCGTTTATTGCAAACCCATTCAACTGGTTCTCAGTACAAAGTTTCAGAAAGGAATAATTATTATTGTCAAGGTTGGGAAGCTTACGCTGTTGCCAAGCGCTTAATACCTCAAAGGTGTGATGACGATGTTAGTTTTGGAAAAAGAAACACTAAACTCTAACTTCTTTATTCTATTGTGTAAAATAATTAATTTCTTGTAAATAGTTATTAGCGTTCAAAACACGTGAGCAGTTTGAAATTCGTATCTAAAGTTTGGTTCGTAGCTTCGTATGTCGCAGGTGAAATGACCGACTCGTGCCGCTCATATTTTGATACCAGCTGTTGGGGCTAAAAAACACTAAGGAAAATTGTATACAGTTCGAGCTCACAAATATGAAATGTTTCCGTGACTATCCAGAATGTAGTGTGACCACGAGGTTTATTGAAACTTGAAATTGACGAACGTTTGAGCGAGGTTGTAAAATGTTTTTCACGTTGGTATGATACTTCTAAAATGGCCTATATAGGCCTACTAAGTATTTGATACTACTCTAGACCTAGCATAGGCCAGCTTTTTATGTTTGATAATCAAATATTTAAATACTGTATTAGAGACCCGAAAAACATTTACGATCAAATTAGTGTCTTTTTTTTTGTAACAGTACTTCTTTAACCACTGGATTTCTAGAATAATACAAAAAAAATTCTAATCGTAGACACCGAAATCTATAAATGAATTTGTCTTAGGCATAACATTAGTTACACCTTTATTAAATACGGCCTATGTTAGATAAAAGAGATAAATTAACACAAACTTTGTTAGTTTTTAGTTAGAACTAAACTTTACCGTACTTAATGCTATCAAAAAATTAACTTTATTCTACGACCTAACGTTAACTTTGATAAGCGTTTAATATGTTGTACAAAATGTCTACTAAGGTATATTTACATTCGTCTTTTGTTTACACCCGTCAAAATGAATTGCGTGCACATGCGCCTTTAGATAGCAAGGTGCGCGCGCATTGTTAGGACAGTATTATTATGATGGTATACTGAAAGTAGAACTTGAATAATTAATTATACTTGACATGAGACAGTAGGAGTAGTGTGATATATTCAGATTAACTGCATTAACTTGAGAATTATATCAAACAGGTCTTCTAAACAGAAGATTGGGGAAGATATGGTATTATGGGTCAGTGTTGGAATAACTGAACTGAGACAATCTTAATTAATGGAAAGTCATAAACTGTTGTTGAATGAACAAGTCAACAATAATCGCTATTGGATAAGTGTATATCACTTCAGGCTTTTTATTTTGAGATGAATTCCTGGAGAACTAAATACGTTAAAAAACAAACAGAATTGTCTTTAAACGAGGTTTCCAATTTACAAAAAACTTCGGTATCTTTTTATTGTGTCACCACATGACTGGTCACTCTCTCATGAAATTTTTTTGATTGAAGTTGCAGACATCCCCCCAATCGGCCAACGAAAGGTCGCTGCAGCATTGTATCTGGCAGAGATGGTGGCATCTGATACCAACACAGAGAGAAACGGACAAGGACAAATTTAATTGCGAGAAACCTTAACGGTTTTTTTTTTGGACCGCATATTTTATGCCAAACTGGCATTTGTTCAGAAATAATGATAAATTTATGATATATATTAATTTTGCATGGAAGAAGAAACTTCTGGTATATTCGTATACCACATTACACCTATTATAATTCTTTAATACTACATTCCTTATTCGGTCCCTCAGGGCTTTTTCACGAAGAATGTATAATATTATTTCTTCCACACTTGTTCGCCATATCCATATAGAGGAAATATCTTGACTGTGACAGTTTTAAATGTAGGATATTAAAAATGTAATTATTGCTGTCAAAGAAAGGTGTGTATCTGTATTCAGTGTAGAGAGAATAACGTAAATCTATAACAAATTATACTTGCAATAAATCCGTTTATTTATTTGATAATAAAGAATTAACAGGTCAGGTTTAGGACTGTATCGTTCTTAGTTTGTCTGATTGGCTACTTGTAAGACGTCTAGTAAGGAACTAGGAAGTCCTTCACTGTTACAGTAAGACAAAAGTTGCACATACCATGTGCATTACATTAAAATATACGCTACACATCCCTTCAAGGCATGGACAGGTGGTTAGGGCACTCGACTCTCAATCTGTGGGTCGCGGGTTCGAATCCCCGTCACACTAAACATGCTCGCCCTTTCAGCCGTGGGGGTATTATAGTGTGACGACCAATCCCACTATTCGTTGGTAAAAATGAGCC